TCCAGGGGGGCAGGGGTAGGTTTGTGATGGGAGAGGGCCCCCGGGGGGGCAGGGTGTCCCTGTGTGGGCGCGGTGCCCGGGACCCGCACACCGGAGGGGCGAGGCCGGCCGGGAGGGGAGGGGAGGGCGGGACAGTGAGTGCTGCCTCGGGGGCCGGCCCGCAGGCATCTTCTTCTCCTCCGGGCCTCGCTGGAGAGCCGCCCGCCAGCACGCCGTGCGCACCCTCCACGGCTTGGGCGTGGGCCGGGCGCCCGTGGCCGACAAGGTCCTGCAGGAGCTGCGGTGCCTCGTGGGGCAGCTGGATCAGTTCGGAGGTGAGTGAGGGCGGGGGGTCCGCTCTCCGGGCCCCTCCCGCTGAGGCCCGTCTCCCCGCAGGCCGGCCCTTCCCGCTGGCCCTGCTGGGCTGGGCGCCCGCCAACATAACCTTCACGCTGCTCTTCGGCCGGCGGTTCGACTACCAGGACCCCCTGTTCCGGTCCCTGCTGGGCCTCATCGACGACGTCATGGTCCTGCTGGGGACGCCCGGCCTGCAGGTGAGAGGTCAGAGGTCGCCACCAGCCAGGAGAGGTGAGGTGGCTGGGGCCACGCCCCCGAGCGCCTCTCACATGCCGAAGCCCCCATTCGCGGGGAGGAAGCTCAAAGGCCTTGACCTTGGTCTACACGAGCTCCCAAAGAGCAGGGCATCCCAGAACAAGAACAATAAAAGAACGGAAGGACAGCTGAAACGCTGAGGAAGAAATCCCTAAGAAACAAAACAATGACATGAAGAGGAATGAAAAAGCAGCCAAGTTTCAAAACAGAGAACGGAAGTGCATAAACACGTCACAAAACCTATTTATAACTGTACACGAGGCCCTAGAACCACAAGAAACACGAAGCATTCCGTTAATAACTCCTTCTCGAACTGCCCCCGGGGGGCGCCCCACGTGGGGAGCTGCTGGCCTAGCGGCAGGCAGGACCCCGCCACCTGGGGTCCTCGTCGCCCCTCCCACACCTCCGGCCTGGAGAGCCCGTGGGCCCGACGGGGCCGGACACCTGGGCCGTCCCACCCCCCTCAGACGGCGCTGCCAGTCCTGACTCGACCCCTTTCCCCGCCCGCACGGCAGCTCCCGCCCCGCCCGCCCCCGCAGGCCTGCGCGGCTGGGCGGCCGCTCCGGGAGTGCGTCCGAGCCCCAACCCTGGTCGGGAGCAGGAGGAGGGGCCGCCATCACCCCCTCAGGAGGCCGCAGGCCCACGAACGTGGCTGGCCGCTCTGAAACCAGCGGCCGACGCTCCCGCCCGGGTGCCCACCGGGACACAGCGAGCACCCAGTGGGCGCCGATGGCATGCCCGCTCGGCTCCCGCCACAGGCGGCCTCGCCCTGCGGCCTCGCCCGCGCCGGCTTCGGCGGGTGGATCCAGTCTGGGCATGAAACTCCCAGGCCTTCCTGGTCCCCGTGGGCTGTGGGGCCCGAGCTCACCCCCTCACTGCTGTCTGCCCGCCCCCCCTTCAGCTGTTCAACCTGTACCCCCGGCTGGGGGCGCTGCTGCGGCTGCACCGGCCGGTGCTGAGGAAGATCGAGGAGGTGCGGGCCATCCTGAGGGCCCTCCTGGAGGCCCGGCCCGCCCCCGCCCCCGGGGGAGGCCCCGTGCACAGCTACGCCGACGCCCTGAGGCAGCACGGCCAGGTGAGGGCCAGCCCTCCCCAAGGCCCCTGGTCCCGCCCACGCTCCTGCGCCTGGGGCTTCCGAGCCTGGTCTCCACCGTGAGAGGGGCTCCCGTGCCGCCTGGGGCAGCGGGGAGGACGGGAGGGGGACGCGGGTGCTCAGGGATCCCCCCAGCAGGTGCTCAGGGATCCGGCTGCCCTTCCCGCCAAGCCTGGCCTCTGCCCCTTTTCCCGCCCGCCTGCAGGGCGGAGACCCCGACGGCTTGTTCTCGGAGGAGAACGTGGTGGCCTGTGTCCTGGACATGGTCATGGCCGGCACCGAGACCACCGCGGCCACACTGCAGTGGGCGGTCCTCCTGATGGGCAGGCACCCCGGCGTGCAGGGTGGGTGTGCGGCCGGCCCTCGCCCTCGCCCGCCCCGGGCCCCAGCACCAGGCCCCAGGGTCACTGCCCCCCCTCGCTGCAGACCGGGTGCAGGAGGAGCTGGACCGGGTGCTGGGGCCCGGGCGGCCGCCCCGGCCCGAGGACCAGCAGGCGCTGCCCTACACCAACGCCGTGCTGCACGAGGTGCACCGGTCCATCACGCTCCTGCCCCACGCGCCCCGCTGCACGGCGGGCAGCACCCGGCTGGGCGGCTACCTGCTCCCCGAGGTGGGCGCCGGCCTCGGGCGGGGCCCCGTGCGGGCTGGGTTCCTGTGAGGTGGACGGCACAGCGAGCGCAGGTCCACCTGGGCCGCCCTCAGGCTCCTGTCCAGCCCGTGGGGGGACAGACCGGCCGCCCGCCGCTCTCCCCGCAGGGCACTCCAGTGCTCCCGCTGCTGAGCTCCGTGCTCCTGGACAAGACGCAGTGGGAGACGCCCGGCCAGTTCAACCCCGGGCACTTCCTGGACGCCGACGGGCGCTTTGTCCAGCGGGAGGCCTTCCTGCCCTTCTCGGCGGGTGCGCTCCCAGGGGGTCCCGGGTGGGGCCTCGGGGGGTGGGCCCTGGCCGCGCCTCCGGGCCGGGAGGTGATGCCCCGCCCCGGTTCCCGACAGGCCGCCGCGTCTGCCCCGGAGCGCGCCTGGCGCAGACGGAGCTGTTCCTGCTCTTCGCCGGCCTCCTCCAGAGCTTCCGCCTGCAGCCCCCGCCCGGCCTCGGGCCCGCCGGCCTGCGCACCGTGCCCGCGCCCGCCTTCACCATGCGGCCGCCGGCCCAGGTCCTGTGTGCGGTGCCCAGGCCCCGGGGGCGCTGACCGAGCCCGGCCTGTGCTCTGGGCCTGGGGTGCGGACTGGGAGGTGGAGGGGTGGGGGGTGGGGGTGAGTCACTATCCCTGGCGGCAGCCTGGACGGATGGTCCTCACCGCCCTTCGCTCACCACAGCCCCGTTCCCGACGGTGTGACCACGGGGCCCCAGCTGTCCCACAGCCGCAGCGGCGGCCATGGAGGCAGCCATCTCCCAGGCCCCGCACCCGAAACTCCCACCTCTCCCAGAGCAGCCCTCTTCCCACCTCTTTTCATCTGTCTCCCCCCGCCCCCTGCCCTGGGCTCAGCCGCTGCGTCTGCACCAGGACCCCACCAGCCCTTCCCGCCCCCGTGCCCACCGGGGCAGCCTCTCCTCCCCAAGTCCATCTGACCATGAAACGGGCACCCCCCGCCCTGGGCCATCCCCCCATCTCCCCGGTGAAGACAGGCTGACGAGGGTGCAGCCAGGCCCCAACTCCAGCGGGAACAAGTTAATAAAAACAAAGAGGGAGCCCGGCCAGTGTGGCTCCGTGGTTGAGGGTTGGTCACAGTTAGCAGGTCACAGTTAGATTTCCAGTCAGTCATGCCCAGGCTGTGGGCTCAATCCCAGTGGGGGGCGTGCAAGAGGCAGCTGATCAGGGATTCTCTCTCATTATTGATATTTCTCTCTTTCTCCTCCCTTCCTCTCTGAAATCAATAAAAATATATTAAAAGAAACAAAACAAACAGTGAGCACTGCCTGGTTGTGTGCATGCCTACACCTGCTCACACGCATGCAGGCATGTGCACACACATGTTCACGTGCTTGCACACACACCTATTCTTGTGCACACGTATGCCGGGCCTCACTTCCCTCTTCACCGTGGAGACCGACCTGGGACGGGGGCACCACCGGCCATGGCCAGGACTAGACTGCCGGCTGGTCCTCGGACTGCCCGCGGCCTGGCCCGGCCTTGCGTGCGGGCGGAGGGCACAGGCTGGCGCAGGACAGTGGTGGGCAGAGGGCTCTGACGTCCATGCCCTGGCCCAGCTCTGCCTTTGGCGCCGGCGCTGGCTTAGCCGCCCGGCAGGGCCCCTGGGCTGTGAGCAAACCCTCAGGGCACGCGGGCGGCCGCCTCGGCTCCCAGGGCCCCAGGGGCGACCTCCATCGCAGTGGAGCTATCTGGTTGCTCAGTGGTCAGAGCCCTGGCCGTCAGCATGAAGTGTCTCGGGCTCCATTCCTGTCAGGGCAGTACCTCGGCTGCAGCCCGATCCCTGGGCTGCTTGGAGTGTGCGCTGGAGGCAACCAGTGGATGTGCCTCTCACACTGACATCTCCCCCCTCTCCCTCCCTCCCTCCCTCCCTCTAAAATCGGAGGATGAACCAAAGAACCAAGACAAACTCCGGCGGAGCTGGGGCCACCCCCAGGGCTGAGAGGGGTCAGGCCCTGGGTCCCAAAGCCCCTCTGGCTCTCTGCCTGGAGTGCATGTGCGCAATCATGTGTGCACACACAAACACACGTGTACAGGCATACACAACACACAAGAACAGGTGTGTACATGCACTTGTGTATGTATGCATGTGCACATGCCTGCATGTGAGAGCACGCACGTGGACATGTACACACACGTGCACACAGCTGTGTGTACATGTGTGCAAGCATGTGCATGTGCGATCAGGACTTCAGCTGCACCAGTGGCAGTGAAGGGCCCCGGCTGCCACACAGTGCGGTGGGAGTGGCCACCTGGGTGCTGGACAGGAGGGTGGTGTGACCTGGCAGGACTTTGGGGGCAGGCGAACGGACGCTGAGGCCCTGTGGCAGGAGGGACTGGCCCCGACTCCTCCCCTCGCCCCAACTCGGCCTCCGCGCTCGGCGCTCAGCCCTGTGACTCCGGGTCTATGCACGCACTGCCGGGAGCAAGGACGGCAGGTCCGTCCTCACGCAGACGGACAGCAGGGGGGCTGTGAGGGCAGCACCATGGCCTCTGCGGCCGCTGCGAAGGGCCAGCCCACGGAGGGTCGTCCTGCAGGAGGGCCAGGTGGCAGGTGCCTAGGGTGTCGGGGGGGGGGGGGGCTGACAGGGACGGCCTGGTGCCCACACGCGCTCCCTCAGCAAACACCCCTCCCAGGCTGCAAGCAGCGAGGACGGGCGAGGACGAGAGCCGTGGCCGGCGCGGCCGCTTTATTGGAAGTACAGCCAGTTCCCCTGAGCGGGCAGTGAGGCCGTGGTCTGGCCGGGCGGGGAGGCTCCACGGCAGCTGTGGCAGGAAGCACGTGGCCTGCGTGAGACGGCCCAGCCCCACGGGGCGGGCGGCAGGGAGCTCTGCCAGTGTTGGCCTGGCAGGAGAACAGACAGCTTCTGGCCCGAGGGCGGAGGGCTGGCACCTGGGGCCCGGGCCTAGGAGAGCAGCTGCAGCACCTGCCGGGCGCGCCGGCTCCTCTCCAGCAGGGCGTGGTCCGGGGCGGCGCCCGCCTCGTCCAGCTGCCGCATCAGGGCCTCCGCCTTCTGCACCGTCAGCTCCCTCGCCCGGCCCCTCAGGCCCTCCAGGTAGGCCAGCAGGGTGGGGAAGTGCTGGTCGGGGACCTGGGCAGGGGAGATGAGGGCCGGTCAGCAGCCAGGCGGTGGGACGCTGGGCAGAGGGGACTGAGATGCCTGCAGCGAGAGCCCCGGGTTCCGGCCCTGCCTCTGGTGCCTCAGGCCCTGGCACTGCCCGGTGTCCTCACAGGGAGCGAGGCCGGGGGCGGCGGGGGCGGCGTGCTGGAGTTTGTCGGCTGGAGCTGCCGGCCCAGGCTCCTACTGGAACTGGCTCAGCACAGAAAAGAAGGGGACACTGTGCAGGGTCAGGGCAGAGAGAGGGAGGGGCGGTGCGGACAGGCTGGGAGGTCCCCCCTCGGCCTGCCCCGCCCCCACACACACCTGATCGCTGTCGAACATGTGCACCAGGAGCCAGGTCTGCCGCGTCTTCTGGAACCGCCAGCCCTGGTGCTTCCGGGCCCAGCTGAGGAGAGCGCGGTCTCAGCACAGCGGGTCCAGCTCAGTGTCCATGGGGGCTGTGGGCCCCTCCCAGCCCGAGGCCCAGCCCAGGCAGGGTGCACCCGGGCCGGCCTGCAATTCCTCCGGGGCGTGGGGGCCCCGTCCCCGAACCCCAGCCGCCCAGCTATAGGTGAGCTGCCGAGCACAGGCTGTCTGCCTGGGATGCGCACTGCTTGGGCAGCACAGAGCATCCCCAGCCAGATGGCCGCCCCGTCCGCCCAGGGGCCACAGACGTGGGGTACAGCGCCCCCCTCTCCCCCGCGGCCTCTCACCCACTGAGGTAGTCCAGGGCCAGCTGGGCACCCGAGGGCTTGGCTGGCCGAGGCTGGGCCGGTGCGGTGCCCGTGGCCGCAGCTTCCCTCAGCCGCTTTCTCTCCTCCTTCTTCCGCTCCTTCTTCCGCTTCCTCTCCAGCACCCTCTTCTCCTCCGGGGACAGCTCGGAGTCCGTGTCCGAGCTCGCTCCATCCTGGGGGGGACCACAGGGCCTCTCAGGAACTGCCCCCGCCCCTGCCCTCCCCGCCCCCGCCCGAGGCCAGGGGTGCGGACGCTGTGCTCCCGCCCGCTCGGCAGTCAGAGCTCACCCTGCAGAGGCCGCCGGGCTCGGAGCCTGCCCTCCCCCGCCGGCCTGCAGAGGGCTGGGTGGGCGCAGGCTGGCTCTGGGGCCTGGTTGGCCCTGGGCTGGCTCTCTCGACAGCACAGGGCCTCCTGAAGCAACCTCCCCCCGCCAACCACCAGACAGTGCCACCTGGCGGGGCTGGCGGCCCTCACTCTCCCGGGAAGACGGACTGTTCACTCGGGCCCTGGGCCAGATCGCGGCCCCGAGCAAGGCCAGCAGAGTGGGGATCCAGCCCCCGCCCCCAAGCAGGCCCCCACAAAGCGCCAATCTCTTGACCACACCCGCTCCTTCTGGAACCTTCTAAAACAAAACAAACCCAGCCGTCAGCCCTCCCTCCTCCTCCTCCCTGAGCACCCGCGGGAAGCACCAGCGTCAGGGCCGGGATGGCAGCCTGACAGGCAGCCGTGCCCTCGCCTGGGCTGGCCCACGGTGCACAGACCGCTGGCAGGGGGCAGGGAGTGGGCTCCGCGTCTGTGTGTGGGAGGGGCGTGCCCGGCCCCGGAGGATGGAGGCGATGACCACGGCTCACGGAAAGCACCGTCCCCATCGCCACAGGCATCGCCCGCCTGAGCCCTCCCAGCCAAAGGCAGGCCACCAGGCTCAGGCAGCACCCAGGGCTGGCAGCACCCACCCGTCCCCAGTGTGGGCAGTGCAATGCAGCGAGGGCCAGAGAGAGAGGGGGCTCCCCTCGCCCCCTCCCTCCCACCCACCCGACAGCGGGCACCGGTGCGCCCAGGGGCCTGTGGCTGGCCCCAGCCCTTGCTTAGGAAAACAATGCCCAACCACGCCTGGCACCGGTGTGCCCTGGGGGCCCTTCTGCTGCTCCTGTGGGGATGGCCCCCAAGGGCCCTGGCCCCAGCGGGGTCTCCCTCCCACAGCGATCACTCACTCTCACGCACACGCACACGCACACGCACGCCCGAGTGCCAGGCGGGGGCAGGGCGCTCCCCGGCCTTCTTGGTGGCTCACTGCCTACGAGCCTGTGGGCGCCCGGTGAGCCGTGCCGGCCCCGAACCCCGAACCCCGAACCCCGGGGCTGGAGGGGCCCCAGCACTGCAGCCCCGGCTGCTGGGATGGCGCCCGCCTGCCCGTCCACAGGGCTAGCACCAAGACAAAGCGTGGGAGGCCGCGGCCGGCCTGGCCCTGGCCTTGGGCAGAGCTGCCTCCGGGGCACGGGGGCGCCGGCCCGGCCCCCGGCCCCCGGAGCCTCGGAGGCAGCTGGCCGAGCTGTGGCTCACAGGCTGGGCCTGGCCCGCGCAGACCGGTGAGGCACCAGGCCCGGACCCTGCCCGCTGGAGGGAGTTCTGACCTCCTCTCAGGGGTCAGGCCAGGGACGTGCTTTTCCCGGGAGAGACCGTGGGAGCCCACAGCCAGGGTGCCCTGCCTCTGCCTGTGCAGGTGCGGACACCTCCCTACGTCGTTTGGCATTTGTCTTCCAAAACGTGGAAGAAAGAAAAGCAGCTCCAGCAGGAGAGACCTAGCGCTTGGCCCCCTTGTAAACAAGGACCCGGACTGCTGCCTGAGGGCCATCCCCCAGGCCGAGGCCGAGTGCGCACCGGCGCCCGCACACCCTCACGGGGTGCACGGGCAGGACTGGGGCGCTGCTGTCCCCCGAGCTCGCGCGGGCCTGAGACGTGGAGGCTGCTGGCTGGGGGGCGCCACCCAGCGTGATCACAGCAGAGGCCTGGGTGGGGGTGGCCTGCGGCAGTCCTGGGCTTCCTCAGGAGAGCACTTCCACCACCGCGTCCCTAACAGGCAGCCCCGGGGGTGGGAAGCGTGGCCACAGGGAGGCCTGGGCTGGCGAGGGGCAGGTGCGGGCCCAGCTGCTGACAGATGTGCAGTCCCCAAGGGCAGCCATGGCTGGAGCGGGGCCAGAGGCCCCTCAGGCGTGAGCCCTGACCACAGCGTCTGTGCACAGGCCGTGCGGGGCTGCTGCCTGCTGAGCCTGGAGCTAGCCAGCCCCTGCGGAGCCCTGTCCTCTGGGGGGGAAGCCCTGTGCCCACCAGCGCAGGGTCAGAGCCGAAGCTCCCACGGGACTCTGCCCAATGATCAAATAAAAGGGTGACTCACGCAGGCAGCAGCTGCTTTCCCCTTTGCTGAACCAATGAAGAGTCTTCCCCACAATTTTTAAAGAAACCTTTTATTTTGAAACTAGTGGCCCAGTGCACAGATTCATTAGAAGAAATATTAGAAGAAAAATTGGAAAAAATATTTTAATATTGTATTCGCCCTTTATAATAGAAATGTCAGATGAAAGAAAATTAGTAAAATGTACATGAAAATATATGTTGATTAATAAACAATAACACGATATAAAAACAGACATAAAAAGGCTGATAAAATGATTAAACATATTCTAATGTCTCCCTGTACACCACATGGAGTGAAAACACCTTCAGAGTGCTTGCAGGTATTTACAACTTTAACTTGAACGTCACACACTCTTCGAACTGGAGAGAAAGCAACATATAGCTGACCCAGTCCGAAAATGGGTTCAGGTAGGAATCTTCCTACTCTGTCCTGTCATTGTGATTTATTAGTTAATGCAAATACAGGCATCACAGGAAACGGTCTTTGAAGGGGAGGCCGGTGTCAGACAGGGACAATTCCATTCTCCACAGATCCTGTTAATATTTCTGCTCTGCACTGCTCTGCTGCAGCAAGAAGGCAGCTCGGTGCCTCACGGGTGCTAAGCAGCTGCTTCGATTATGTCAGGTCGCAATCTTGTGATGATAAATCTAGTGCCATTCCAAAGACCCCACTTACTACTAAGATTTCTCAGTGGCATGATGACTGTGTCTACTTTCAATTTTAATTTATGACACAGCATTCCTGAAGGAGTAATACTGCTAAGAAATTCGATGGGAAAATTTTCCTCTTCATTGAATCGATGGAATCACTCATGCTCATTTTTAGGACAAAGAATCCCACGTTTAGATATACTTCTTAAAAATATATATTTAATCGATATTTTACAAAGAGAAAGAGAGAGTGATAGAGAGCTAGAAACATCGATGAGAATCATCGACCAGCTGCTCCTGCACCCACCCACTGGTGATGTGCCCGCAACCAAGGTACATGCCTTTGACTGGAATCGAACCCAGGACCTTTCAGTCTGCAGAATGACGCTCTATCCACTGAGCCAAACCTGTTCTGGCTAGATATACTTTTAATGTTATCTACAGATACACTATTTCCAAAGGTAGCTCAATAACAGATCCGTTACAAATCATTTCACAGGGGATTTCGATAATATCCGAGAGCTTTACAGGTATTTTGCGTGTGTGCATGCGAGTCAACGCTTACTTCAAACTGCCAGTGCACGTCCTAGGAACTGGGCGGGTGGTCACTTAGCCTTTGTGTACACAGGTAACCGATGCACCCTGTGCTCCGCTCCGTGTCCCTGGGGCGAACTTCACCTTCGAGCCAGAACCAAGGCCCCCCAGACCCCATTTCCAGTCCAGAGGACGCAGCCTCGCACAGCTTTGTCCGAGTTACACGAAGACCAGTGAGGACCATTATGTTCTTTAAGGCGAACCCCCTCCCGCTGGATGGAAGCAGCTGCTTAGCACCCGAGAGGCACCGAGCTGCCTTCTTGCTGCAGCAGAGCAGAGCAGAGCAGAGCAGGCAAGCCCCCTCGCTGAGGATGGAAGTTAGGGCAGAGAATTCGCAGCCAGCAGCTCAGCTGCTGGGACGAGGCAGGTAAACGGCCTGGAGCGGCGGCGGGCAGCGGGCGGTGGTGCGGGCACGAGCCCTCGGGTCCCGGCTGGCGCTGGCACGGAGGCAGACGCGGGCTCTGGCCCCGAGGAGCTCACGGCCGGACGCAGGTGAGCTCCTGGAGGACAGGGAGAGCGGCTGCCTGATCCAGGTCCACACTGTGCGGGGCGGAGAGCACTCCTGCGTGTGGAGGGGCTGCGGCCGCCTCGGTGTGAACAGTGCACGCACTCACAGGCAGATGGAAAGGTAGACTGTGAGCAAGATCGCCAGGCTCTGCCACTGGGTAACCAGCCACGCGGGGAGCTGCATGAGGCACCCGGTGTCCCCACCCCACAGGCCCCCAGCGAAGAGTCCGCTGGGGCCAGAGGGAGAGCCCAAGCCCACGGCTCTGTCACGGCACGAGGCCTGGAGCCGGGACCCAGTCCTTGCAGCACAGTCCAGTGCTCACTGACCGCGGCCTTGGCGGACGGGCCGTGCCACCCATCCTGGTGGGGTTGGAATCGGCGGGCGGGCACACTGGCCCGCGTCACTGACGTGTTAGGACCAAAGCCACACTGGGGGCCAGAGCTGCCTGCCAGGCGCCACGCACGGCTCTGCTCTCCGAAGCTGCAAGCGACAAGCCCCACGGCGGGACACCCGGCTGCTTAGAGACGGGTGGGGGGAGCGGGAGGGGGCGGGACACCCGGCTGCTTAGAGACGGGTGGGGGGAGAGGGAGGGGGCGGGACACCCGGCTGCTTAGAGACGGGTGGGGGGAGGGGGAGGGGGCGGCCACAGCGCCCCTGTGATGGCCGGGGGACTCTCAGGAGCACCTGGCTTTGTTACTACTGCAGGAAAGCCGTGACAATGTAGCTGTCTTTTAACCCAAGAATTGAACAGGTTTGCAATGTCAACAGGCACCGGGAAAGCCCAGGGCACCAAGCCGGCGGAGAGGACCCTCCCCATACTGTGCCATGTCCCAAAGCCTCACCGAGGCCGTGGGCCAGCTTCTCGGCCCCGGAGCACTGCAGCGCGGTCCGCACCACCAGGCCAGGCTCTGCCCAGGAGGCCGGCCCAGCCCTCCTCCTGCCCCCAGACCCGCAGCACAGGGCCGGGAGCCGCCAGCCACGAGGAGTGTATGTGCCCGGTGCACCGT